TTACAATGCTTTAGATTCCTTCAGCTCCTCTAAGGCATGGACAGCTATTTGGTAGTTTGGTTAGTTTTCTTTCATTTTCATTTTTTAAGACCAGGGTGGCCTCAGACTTAGTACACATGTTAGGCCTGAGGGTGACCTGGAACTTCCACCACTTCCCACATAAGGCCACATTAGCTTTACTTTTTTCTTTTTTAATTGACAAAAGTAGAAACTATATATATTTGCAAACCTTTTATAGATATGCACAGTATAGAGTGGCAAAATCAAGGCATTTGATACATGGTTGTTGTTTTGTTTTGCTATGTTTTGTTATAGCAAATAGCTCATATGGTTTTGTTTAGTTAGTGAATGCTATAATCCAGTGGTTCTCAGCCTGCCTGCTGGCTGTTGGAATGCAGATACACATCAGACCAACTACTAAACACAAGTCTCTGGGATACAACTCAAATACTAGAATTTCTCAAAGCTGGTTGCCAAGTCCACTCTGCATTCACTGCTTAGGACCAGCTCTGAACAGCAGGGAACGCAGGCAAGCTTGAGCCCACAAGTGCAGCGACAGTGGAAGTCATGCCCGCTATACCACACATGCTCCGACCCTGTTAGGGTTTGGAGGTCAAGCCCAGAGCCTGTGCATCCCAGCCCTCCTATGTACCTTGTCCGTTGTAATAGTAATCCCAGTGAGGATTTTAGAACACAACTACTTGGATTTGCTTTTAATTATGAACCAATAATGAAAAATTACCTAAAGGGCTGGGGAGGTGGCTCAGGGGTTAAGAGCACTTGCTACTGGGACACAGGTTTAGTTCCCAGAACACACACAGTGGCTCACAACTGTAAATCCAGCTCCAGGCATCCAACACCCTCTCCTGGCATCTGTGGGCACCAAACATACACATGTAAATGTGTGGTCTAACACTCATACACATAAAATAAAGATAAATAGTAAAAGGTATATGTGATCTATTAGTAAAATATATGCTTTTTACTCATAAATAGTAAAAAAAAAAAAAAAAATTAGTCACCAGAACCCCTACATTTTGAGATCAGTTATACATACTACCATGTAGCCTGCCATTTTGTTGTTGTTGTAGGGGAAGGTCTTCTACTAGACATAATTACGTTTTTAAGCTACCAACTTATTGGAGGAAACACTGGCTTAAAGAATTTGGAAACTTATTTCAGGGCTGGAGAGATGGCTCAGGAGTTAAAGAGCACCAGTTTCTCTTCCAGAGGACACCTATGGCAGCTCAACAGTCATCTCCAGTTCCAGGAACTCTAATGCCCTCTTCTGGCCTCTGTGGGCACCAGGCATGCATATGTGGTACATAGACCTGTAAGCACAGGCAAAACACCCATATACATAAAATTATTTCTAGTTAATTAGCTCACTTTTGAACCAGCATGTTTGAATTATGCTATATAAAATGGGTCCATTTGGATTAAAAAGTTGCTCACCGAGTTGTTATTCAGCAAGATGGATTCTAGGCATACAGGGATGACCAGATCATAGATTCTGTCTTTGAAAATCTTAAGGGAGGGAGGCACACAAAGTAGTCTTAATTTGCCTTTTCCTGATGACTAAGGTTATTAAACATTCCATTTATATTTTTTTCTTCTGAGAATTGCTTTTTCATTTCATTAGCCCATTTATTGATTAGCCCAGTTTTAAATGCTGTGCAGAAAGCTTTTAATTTTGTGCAACCCTACCTATTGATATTAGAAATTGGTTCCCGTACTATTGAGGTTCTGTTCAGAAAGCTCTTTTGTACCCCCAGTGTTTTGAAGAGTATTCCTATGTTTTTCTCTAGCAGTTTGAAGTTTTAAAATAAGGTATTTATTCCATTTCTAATTGGTTTTTACATGGCAAGAAAGATAATGGATCTAGTTGTGTTCCTCTGCAGGTAGACTCCCAGTTTTGCCAGCACCTTTTGTGGACTAGGCTATGCTTCTTTACTGCATGTTTTTGTCTATCTTCATCAGTGATTAGATGCCCACAGCTTGTCGGTGTATTCCGGTTCTGTTCCAAGTCTGTAACTCCTGTAGTATGGTTTGAGGTTTGGCAATACCTCCAGTTTTGATCTTGTTCTTTATGACTGCTTTGGCTGCCTGTGGACTCTTGTGATTCCATGAGCTCTTGGGCTCCCTAAAGCTGAGAAATAGCATCCAAACTTTGATTGGCATTGTGTTAAATATGTAGATTAACTTTGTACTATAGTCGTTTTCACAATTAATTCTGCCAATAAGAGCATGGAGGGTTCTCTATTATCCAATATCTTCATTGATTTCCTTTTCCAGTGTCTTAAGTTTTCTTTGTGGAGGAGGGAGGAGATCAATACAAATGGAATATTTTTTCTACCTTCTTTCTCTTGAGAGTTCATTGTTGGTGTGTGTGTGTGTGTGTGTGTGTGTGTGTGTGTAGACTACTGGTTTCTTATATTGATTTTTGTATCCTGCAACTATATTGTTAGAGCTAAGAGTTTTCTAATAAGTCAGGTGGTGGTGTACACCTTTTATCCCAGCACTCTCAAAGTAGATGAAGGGAGAAGTCTATAGATCGAGTTCTAAGACGTCCAGGGCTACACAAAGAAACCCTTTCTTGAAAAGCTGGGGGGAGTGGATTACATAAGATCTTTTAAGTACAGACAATTATATGGTCAGTAATAAGGAATCTTTGTCTAATTACTATAGCTAAGACTTGAAGCTCTGTCTGATGCTCTGTGGCATGTATGTCATTAATGTCTCCTCACTGTTAGAGCTAAGACTTAAAGCACTGATTTCAACTGGCACGCTGAGGTATATATGTAGTTAACACATCCTCATTAATACAAAGTCATCTGGATTGACCCAGTATCAAAATCAGAAAATCCCTGGCTTTAAATTCAGATATAGGAAGTTTCAAAAACTGTTATTCTCGCTATGTTACTTTTTCTGTCATTTTAACAAAAGACCTGAGAAAACCAACTTTGTTCCTTTTAAAGGAAAACTTGAGGGCTGGTGTGGTAGCACATACCTTTAGTCCTTGCACTTGGAACACAGGAGGATCTGAGATCAAAGCCAGCCAGGGTTATATAGTGAGACCATTCTTTAAAAGTTTATATTTGCTCACTGCCCTGAAAGTATCAGTATGTGGTGAGCCAGCTCCTTTACTTTGGGGCCTAGCGTGAAGCAGAACACCGTGATGAGAGCATGTTGTGGAACAGAGATGCTTGCCACAAGGCAGCCAGGAAGGGGCAAGAAATGGGGTATATCTTCCCAGACCTCTCGAGGAACTTGCTTGTAACTAGTCTCTTTATCCCACCCCCACATTCTAGGGCCATCATTTGGCCATCATGGATCCACCTAGGGATTAGGTCACAGCTGTCATGATCCAATTACTAATAGTGACTGGATTACCAACTGGGAGACAGGACTTCTGCCCAAGAACTTTTGAGGTACTTCACAGCTAAACCATAACAACCAAAACAACAGAATAAAGTGACTAGTATCTGCCGTACTGGTTAGCACAGCCATCAAACTAGATGTTTCTACTGAGCACTTGAAATATAAATGAATTTTTAATCAAATAGCCACAACTATGGCATTAGATACAGTGCAACAATAGAGACAGGCAGTCTGTCTTTAGTGCTGGGGATGGTACTCCAAATACAGAGGAAGTGAAGAGGAAAAACTCCCCAGGGCTTGCTTGTCATCTGGGAGAGACCTAGGAAGAGTAGCAGAGCTACAGCTTTTCCCAGGCCATCCTCCTGCCGTAGAGTGGAAAGCAGATAAGATAAGCAAGGGTCACCTTATCCTCTAGGGTACAAAGAGCAGAGTGTGGGAGGTAGAAAACAGCCACCTGTTACCTAGAGAGTTTTCATCAGGGCTGCATGTCAGGGGTGGAGAACACAGGACAGTAGACAACTTCTCCAAAATCCCAGGGTCCAACTCAGAGCTTGACAGGAAGCTCCTTATATGTTCTCAAAATGGTTCAGCACTCAGGAGGCAGAGGCAAGCAGATCTCTGTGCATTGAAGGTCAGCATGGTGAGTTCCAGGGTAGCCAGGGGTACAAAAGAGAGACCTTATCTCAAACAAAGAAAAAAAATCAATAATAATAATAAATCTTTAATTATTAAAAATAACCAAAGAATCTAATGGAAAAGCATACAGCAGCATAACATAAAGAGATGGGCAGCTTTTCTCAGAGATGTGAAATAATTTGTTTTTTGTTGTTTTTTTTTTCTTTCTTTGAGACAGGCTCTCATAAGCTCATGGTAACCTTGAACTTCTGATCTACTTTCCTCTCCCTCTCTCACAGCTAGCTAGTGTCCTTGCTTCAGAGGAACGGTTGTCAAGTTTTAGGACACCACTTGGAACATAGAGAAATTTCTCTGCAGTTAGAACTTAGAACTTAAGTATCTAGAATTATCTCTGTTGTTCCTCAACTAACCATAACAATTTGTAGCTTAACAATAAGAAATTGGAAGCCTTTTTAATTTTTATAAATTTTATAGGATTTTGGGTGTGTGTCTGTCTGTGTGTCTGTCTGTCTGTGTGTGTTTGGTTGGTTTGGAGCTCACTGCCATCCTTCTTCAAGCACCCGGTACTTTCATGATTAACTCAGCCAGCTTCATGTAAATATTGAGTCAGAATCTGTGAAATAACTCACAATTGTTCCACAAAAGAACTGGGCATTGTGTACTCAGGAGGCTGAGGTGGAAGGATTGTGAGTTCAAGGCCAGTCTAGGCCACATAAAAATTCAAGCCCAGTCTGAGCCACAGAGAGAAATTCTATCTCAGAACAGAAAAAAAAAAGTTGCCATTTTTTATTTTCAGAGATGGGAAGATTTTTCAGTTATTCTTGCTTTCTAGCACGTGTAGCCAGTATATTGCTGTAGATGTTGATTTTGACCCGCTTGGCTATTTCAGTTGCACATGCCTTACCTGATGTGTGTGAGAGGGACAAAGATGACAGTGAGTTAGTGGCAGTAGTAATAAATAACAAATGTTTTTTGTTTTTCAGGGAAAATTTTTATCCCTAAACAGAAGCCAGTGCAGACTTTTAGAGAAGAAACTATATCCCTTGATCCAGAGTTAGAAGAAGCCTTGACAAGTGCTTCAGACACGGAACTGTGTGACCTTGCAGGTATCTCCCAAGATGGGGGGATTTTGAATGAATGTGGCATGGGGCAAGCAATGCTGGACCCATCTGCATGCATTAGACAGATGCCTGCTTTGCACAATAAATCTAACAGCTGGATTGTTTTATATATTCTCTATGGTGAAATTTTATAGTGATAAGATTTCTTATTTGATGATATTCCTATGTTGCTGTATTTCAGTCTTTCTAACAACAACAAAAGCTATTCTGTCAGCTGGTGAGCCTGCCAGTCTGAGCACTAGGAACAGCCTGCAGGGTCACCTTCTGCCCTGTTTTATGGAGAGTAGAAATCAGGAGCTGTAGTCACTTCCCCAACTTCACTGAATGACAAACACTGCAGACTTCTGTGCCCCTATGGCCAATTTCCTACCTGGACCACTCTTCCCACTGACTATGCAACTGCCCATTTTCCTGGGTAGAAAATGTGTCATGTGGGAAGATCCTCATACTGGATAACTCTTAAGAACTGACATGTTTGAAAATAGAGTGAAGGTTCCTGGGAAGGAACCTTAGAAAGCAGCATGTGTCATCACAACTCCAGAAGGTGGTGTATTCCTTACGGAGCAGAGCACTGGGGCTTTATAAACGGAAGCTTCATCAGAGAGTACACCAAAGAATTTGAATGCTTCTGAGAATGCCGTTTTATTCTAAATGGAAGAACTTAACAGCACTTACTGTAGTCATATAGTCATGTGTGCCAGCATGCCCGGCCTTTTACTCTGTCTTTGTATAGTGTTATGTTCCTACAAACCTAGACAGTGCATCTTTTCACTTTCCTGTCTTAGCCACCAGATGGAGCTAAGCCCAAGTTTTCCTTTCAGGTCAGCCTGCCTCACCCTGTGGTCTAAAGTAAAAGATGGTAGGAAATGACAAGGGTATTGGTGAGACTAGATGACAGGTTGTCGGTGACTTCTGACCACTGCCTCGCCCTCCCTCCTGTTTGCGGGTGTAAAGTCCATTTTTGTTTAGTAGGACAAAGTCTGGAGAACGTTAAAAATATTTAAAATTTTTGTTTGCAAACTGAATGCTGGGCTTACAGCTATAGTCACAGCCCCATGGAAGAGTTCAGCCCAGGAGTAGCCTGCCAGAGACACAGCAGGGCTCCATGTTAAAAAAAAAAAAAGTGAAAATGAAAAGGTTTAGAGCAGGTAGAGGTGGAAAGCTAACTGTCTTCTGTCTCTGCAGCTATCCTTGGGATGCACAGTCTGATGGCGGACACGCAGTACTGTGACGTGCTGGGAAGCAGCAATGGCATCAGCCAAGAGCATCTTCCAAGTGAGCAGCTAAAGTGCCTCGTGAAGTCTAAGCCTCTGTCAGATATAGTCTGCTTCTCCCGTGTATTAACTTTGCTGTTTATTATACCAAATATTCAAGTATAATATATACATGTGCTAAACCTAAAATTTAAGTATGCTGTTACTATCACAGAAAGCCATTAAAAATCTTAGATGTAGTCAGGTGTTGGGAGTCATGCCTATAACCCCAAAATTAAGAATGCTTCCTGAGCCAGGTAGTGGTAGCAGCACACGACTTTAATCCTGACAGTTGGCAGAGGAAGGGGGGTCTCTGAGTTTGGGGCCAGCCTGGTCTACAGAGTGAACTCCAGTACTGTGCTACACAAATAAACCCCGTAGCAAGCTAGTTAGCTAGCTTCCTGTTCTTCTGGAAGACAAGGTTCAGTTTCTACCTTTTATAGCTTACAACTCCAGCTCCAGGGATCAAGGGCCCCCCACACATGTGACATACACACACATATACATAAAGTAAAATAAATATTTTTAAAAATCAAATTTAAGGGCTGGAGAGATGGCTCAGCAGTTAAGAACACTGACTGCTCTTCTAGAGATCCTGAGTTCAATTCCCACCAACCACATGGCAGCTCACAACCATCTGTAATGGGATCTGATGCCCTCTTCTGGTGTGTCTGAAGACAGCTACAGTGTACTTGTGTAAAAAAATAATTTTTTTTTTTTTTAGAATACTTAGTAATGTAGTTTTTGTTCTTTTTTTGAAATAGGGCCTCGCTGTGTAGCCTTCGCTGGTCTTGAACCTCAGACTGCCTCCTGAGTCCTGGCAGTATGTACTGGGAGCGTAAATACTAATGGCAAACAGTATAAACGCCACACACGCTTAGGGTTTTTAATTTGACTTGCTTTTTTCTACAAGTTGTTTTTGCAGTGAGGATCCAACAAAAAACCTTAAGCAAACTACATGAACTTTCTACCACTGAACAGCCCCGACCAGCCAGGCCTAGCTTTTGTTAACATTTTATTTTTGTGTTGCTAGTTTTTAAGGAATCCATGGAAAAATGCTGACAAAGTTCTCTTTTTTTAAATATAGGATGTTTTTAAATTCTCAAGATAAATATATTTTATATATGTATACTATGTATATAGCGTTTTTAAGTATCTCATAAGTATATACACTACAGACTAAATGTCTCAGAGCTGGAGAGATGGCTCAGCAGTTAAGAGCTACTGCTCTTCCTAGAGGATCGGGATTTGGTTCCCAGCACCTACATGATGGTGCACAACCACCTGCAGCTCAAGCTTCAAGGGATCCAGTGCCCTTTTCTGGCCCAAACAGGCTCCTGAGTGCATGTGATATATGTATATTCAAGTAGGCACACATGCAAACTCATAAGTAATATTTTTAGAAAAGAAGTAAATGTCTATATTCACAAGCATTCTGTAGCCTACCACTCCCCTCAGGTGTTAACAAGTTGGTATATATCTTGTTTTATAATTCAGATCCATTTAAAATGTATATACAAATGTATACATGTTATGTATAAATTGTCTTTTTAGTAGCATTTATGTATTTATTGCAATTTAATTTTTAAGAATTTTAATTACTGTTGTTTACATTTTTGGTTTTTTATGGCTGTTTTGTCTGAATGTATGTCATTGCACCTATGGTGGCCAGAGGTGAGTGTTGGATTCCCTAGGCTGGAGATGGTGTGAGCCACTGTGTGGATGCTGGAAATCAAACCCAGGTCCTCCACAAGAGCAGCTAGTGCTCTTAACTCTGAGCCATCTCTCCAGTATTCAACTTAATTTTTTAATAATAGCACTATTCCTAGGGTTGGTTTCTTTTCTGTCTTTTTTCTTTTTTAAATTCTTACTATGGACTTCCTCTGTGCACTCCGTCAGGTGTGGATTATTCTCAGTATCACAACAGCCCTATGAAAAAGGTATTGTTCTTGTTACTGTCCTCTGAGGAGCTGGGGTTTTACAGAGATAATGAGCCTTGGTGTCACAGAAAGTCAGCACTGAGGGTTTTGCAGACTTAGTTCATTCCGATGTTTATGTACTTATCCCTTTTGTAGTGTTCTGTAGTTTGGGTATTTCCTTTGGTTCTTAACTTTAGATGTGAATGTAGGGATTTTGCTTTGGTGAATATTGTGGGGAGCTGGCAAATGCTTAAATATCAGTGTATCAGTGTGGTTCCTCAATTTTGGAGATTGTCAAGACGATCACTAAGGAACTGTGTGCTGCGGTGGTACACACCTCTAATCTAAGCACTCGAGAGTCTAAAGCAGAGGGTTGCAAGTTCTAGGCAGCCTTGTTTACATGGCAAGGCTCTGCTTTAGAATGAGAGGCAGGGAAAGAAAAACAATGAGCCGATTCAGCACCAGCCTGACCCGCCCACTCTTCCCTGGGAACCTTTCGTGTAATTGTAGCATCCCATCAAACGGATACTATTTTTTAAATGAAGCCTTATTTTTGTTACTTTGTCCCCATATATGTATGTATGTATGTATGTATGTACGTACGTGCGTACGTACGTACGTACGTACGTATGTATGTATGTATGTATGTATGTCTCACAAATTAAGAACATTTAAAAAGCATAACCCAATGCCATTATTAGATGCTGGACCTTTAAGTACTCTTATGGTTTTATAAAACTAAAAACTCCCTTATTTTCATTCAGTGAAGTGCTCCTCCATCTGCTACAGTCCACTAGCTGGAAGAAAGCCAACTCATTAAATGGAAGCAAACCTACTCTTCCCTTGTTTTCTGTATTTAGTAACACTCATTTGACGACATAAATAACCACCAGCATATAAAGGGTCCTTTAGCAGTTCTGCAGAGTGAGGCTAGATGACCAAGTTGCTGTGTATCTCCTCTTGGGCTCAGCTGTCTCAGTGAGCCCTTCTCTTTCCGTTTGCTCCTGCAGATGTGGTTAAAGGGGAAAAGATTCTTCCAGTGTTCGATGAGCCACCAAATCCAACCAACGTTGAAGAGAGTTTAAAGAGAATTAGGGAAAATGATGCCCGTCTTGTTGAAGTTAATTTGAATAATATAAAAGTAAGTATGTTAGGCATGTAATACACATATGTATCAACATCAACACATGATGTTTGCTGTGTGTCAGTGGAACTTAAGGTTCTAGTATGTAGTCTTAACTCCTTGCTTTAAGGTGAAGTATACTAACAGTATATGAACATAGATTCTCTCAAAGTTTAGAAATTCAGTGTTACAGAAAGTATTTAAAGAGTTTATCATATAAAATGTAAGCCCTACACATAGTAAATTTAACTTTTAAAATACTGTCCACTTTTTTATTTTGAGACAAAAGTTCTTCTGTGTAGCCCTGGCTATCCTGGAACTCACTCTGTAGACCAGGCTGGCCTCAACTCAGAGATCCACCTACTTCTGTCTACTAACTTTAGCCTTTGGTTTTTGTTTTAATCAGGTTTCTGAAGGTATTTTTAATATAATTAAGTAAAATTCTTATAGTATACAGTCCTGAGTTGTACAAGCTGTAAGATATTGTTGTCAAGTTGTAAAACAAAAAATAAATGACTGACTGATGGATGTAAAGCCTGCTGTCCCGCTAGACACTCTTTAGGCCCCTTTGTTATCCTCTGTCCGCCCTGACAGCCTTCAGATTGAGATTTGGTTTGCAGCTTTTTAAGTCTAGCCTTTGGCAGAGTGTACTCAACATTTACCCATACTGAGTAGGTTTCACTAGGTTGTTCTTTTCCACTGTGGAGTCATTCTCACATAGGTTTTACTGTAGTTTGTTTATTCATGAGTCAGTTAGTCACATAGATTGCTTCCAGTTTAGAATGGTTATGTATAAAGTAGCTGCAGACATATGACGTCTTTGAAAAATACAGGTTTTTCTTTCTCTTGATCAAATGACTAGAAATTAGCTTTCTTACTGGTTTTTGGTTTTTGGGTTTTTTCAAATTATTATCCCTGATGGTGTGTTTGTTTTGAGACAGGGTCTCTCTATGTAGTCCTGGCTATCCTAGAACTCTGTGCAGACTAGGCTGTTTGTATGCTTCCTGGGTATACTTTAAAGCAAACAGCAAGTATAAATGCATTTTATTGATGGATTGAACTTCCTGAAAACTAAAATGTTGATGGTGTTTCACATTTCTTGTCTTTCAAGAATATCCCAATTCCAACTCTAAAAGATTTTGCGAAGTCTTTGGAAGCCAACACACATGTGAAACATTTCAGTCTTGCAGCTACCAGGAGCAATGACCCCGTGGCTGTGGTAAGTATGCTGTGATTGACAGTGTCAGCCATTCCCAACTGACATCTACAGACTTGTGTCATATAGTGAGATTAACCCAGTTTGTTTTGTGAGACAGGATCTCTCATAGTCCAAGGCTCTGTGTAATGGAAGATGGTCTTGAACTCCCTCGTTCTCTTGCCTCTGTTTCCAAGTGTTGGGATCATAGGTCTATACCACTGCACCCACTTCAACTGTGACTCCCCTACCATTTATCTATTCATTTATTTATTTGGGATGTGTGTGTGTGTAGTGTCCAGTGGCCATGGACGAACTGGGTTTACCTGAAAGGGGGGCTGGAAATGAAAAAGCGATGGAGGTGAGGGGGACAGGAGAAGCTTGAAGCCAAGACAGGATTCTGATCAGGCTCAAAGTTTTAATATTCAGCACTGCGTTTATATAGGGAAGCCCACCAAACCCATCCTTTGTTTCAGCTGGATTATGTTGCAAAGCAAGCTCAGCGAGCAGTCTGTTTTTCTAAGTTCCAATAGGAAGTTGCATGTGCAGCCAGGGTGGATGACTCCACTTGGGTCGTTAAGGTCCATTGTGGCAAGCAAGTTCTATTCAGCCTGTTCAAGGCTGGGAAGGGCACATGTGTGTGGGTGTGTGGGTGTGTGGGTATGTGGGTGTATACATGTGTTACAGTGTGTATACATGTGTTAAACAGTGTGTATACATGTTATAGTGTGTATACATGTGTTACAGTGTGTATACATGTGTTACAGTGTGT